AAGGAAACGAATGGGTGTATTGCCCACCATCTGGGGGAGGGGAACGGTCTCGGGAACGTTTTGTCTGCAGCAGAATGTACTGTAAATTTCCCGGACGGAGACCACATCGGAGATTCCAAAGTGTGCAGACCGCGGCGAACGCGAGCCCGTGCACTTCCTCCGGCAAAAGTAACACTTTTCCGCCCAACCAGCCATCAGCCCCATCCCCCCCTTTGTGTCGAACCACGGCTGCGAAGTCCACAGCCTCCACTCTGTGAGGAACGAAATCCAATCCTCCCTGGCAGGTATGTGTGTATTCCTCAACCCGGCTCAGCTGTAGGCAATGAACTCCTGCAACTCTTGCACGACTTCGACCTCCTCTACTTCCGATATCCACGGGCGCTTCCCCGTCTTTTCCCTCCGCTTCAGCCACACCCTCCAACGTTTTGCATAACCCGCCCCAGGCGTTGGTGCAGCTCTTCCAAGTGCACAACCTCTAGCAGAATCTCGGCACACACGCGTTGCTCTTTGGCCCCCAGGTCTTGCACCAGCCAAAGCGTACCGGGCGCGATTCACGTTGTTAGTGATTTCGCCTTCCTCCCACCTCGTCAAGCCGCCTGCTAGATTATTATCTTCTCCTGGAACAGGCTCTGCTTGGAAACATCAGTCTCCCTTCGATTCCAGCACGCCCATCCACCTCGTCAAGGCCCCGACTCTTGCGTTATCCTTCTCCCCCCCCCTAAAGTTCTTCATTTCTTTGTCGACTAAAGTCGTCACTGCATCCCCATTCCTCTCCAGTCTATCCTCCTTCATCTCCACCAACACGTACGCCGACACTACCATTGCCATCGCTTCCAGCAACTTTCACACGCCATTTCTTGCCGTTGAAATGATGTGTAAGAACAGAACCATCATCAATCGTCCCTTCTGAAAATGGGCAAATCCTCTGTAGTATTCCAGAAGTCGTAGCAGCTGATGTTGTCGGTTCTACTATTGATTAGTACAATATTTGAACACTAAACAAGGCGCCTCAATGGACCCATGAGTTGCCCCACGACACCTCATGGAATTGCTCGTGAGTTGCCATGAGGTGCCATCGGGCGGGTCATGGGGCCTCATGAAACTCCATCCAATTTACGGTACCGCTGATGAGATCGCTGATGAGACGACATCTCATGAGCGCGGTACTATGAAGTGCCGTGAGATGCCTCATGGCAACTCGTGAGGCGTTCCACAAGACGCCTCTCAAGAGGTATCATGACACATCTGATGGGACACCTCATGACACTCCACACGAAGCCTCATGACACCTCACGACACTTCATGACAGCTCATGACAGCTCATGACAGCTCATGACAGCTCATGACACCCCACAACGTCTCATGACACATAATGACACCTCATGACACCTCCTAACACCTCATGGCACCCCATAACACCTCATGACACCCCACGACGCCTGATGACAGTCATTGACAGTTCATGACACCCCAAGATAACTCATGGCACCTTATGGCACACCGTGATAGCTCAGGACAGCCCATGAGAGCTCACGACAGCTGGCAATGCTCCAATACACCTCATGACACCTGATGACACCTCAGGACACCTAATGAAAAAGAGGGGCATGTACATTTTTGTACTTTTGCATGGAATGTACCATGGAAGTCCATGGACGTCCATGAAAGTCCATGGAACGGTATTGGAAGTCCATGGACTTCCATGGACTTCCATGGAGCGCCATGACCATACATGAACTTCCACGAACTTCCACGGAATCCCACTGAAGGCCAATGGAATTCCATGGACTTCCATGGACGTTCACAACATTTTCCCGAACGCTCGTGAATAGTGCCATGGAATGTCATGACATTTTTGTCATGAAGCCTTCCATGAAATATTGTCACTACGTGTGTCGTGAAACATTTCATGATAACATATCATGGACATTCATGACATGCCTTCATGAACGCCCATGAACGTTCACGGAATGTGCCATGGAACATGGTCAAAATGGACATACATGAACGTTTTCATGAGCACTCATGGAGTTGCCATGAAATATGTCATGGTATTCCATGGTATTCCATGGTATTCCATGGTATTCCATGGTATTCGATGGAAATCCATGGAACGCCATGGAATCCCATGGAATTCCGTAATACTGTTTCATGGACATTGATGAACATTCAAGGATGCCCACGGAATGCCCATGAAATGTTTTTTAGACGTTGCGCCGGTAGGAGCACTTAGGTGTGTCCAAAACATTCAAGGTTCCTTTGTCCGGCAGTTTGGCTTCATTGGAATGTTGATCGGACGCCCGTTCCATCATGACACGTTTGATGGACTGTCACGGACTTCTTCGGACATGGTGTCATTTACTTCCATGGACTTCCATGACACGTTTCATTGTTTCCACTCCATCCCGTGGACTTCCACGGAATGTTTGATGGAATTCCATGAAAATCCATGGACGCACATAGATTTCCATGGAACGTTCCATGGACGCCCATGGATGGAAGTCCATGGACTTCCACAAAACATTCCACCAAAAAGTATAATAATGTATTTTTCTGGGGATTGGGTCTCGTCTCATGAGTCGTCGCGAAGGTGTCATGGGGCGTCGTGAGGTGTCATGACGCGTCTTGGGGTGCAGTGGGTTGTCATGAGGCGCCATGAGGCGTTATGAGTCGGTCGTGCTGTGCTATGAGGCGTCGTGCGTTGTCATGAGGCGTCATGGGGTGTCATGGGGTGCCATGAGGCATCATGAGGCGTGATGAGATGTCGTGAGGCATTAGAAGGCGTAATGAGGACTCGTGAACGCGTCATGAGGTGTCATGAGGCGCCGTGGGGTGTCATCAGCTGCCATGATGTGTCATGATGTGTCATGAGGTGTCATTAGCTGTCATGATGGGTCGTGGGGTTTCATGAGGTGTCATTAGTTGTCATGATGGGTCGTGGGGTTTCATGAGGTGTCATGAGGTGTCATGAGGCGTCATGAGGTGTCACGAGGTGTCATGAGGTGTCGTGAGTCGTGGTGGGGTCCCATGAGGTGTCATAAGGTGTCTGGAGGTGTCATAAGCTGTCATGAGCTATCATGATGGCTCGTGGGGTTTCATGAGGTGTCATGAGGTGTCATGAGGCGTTTTGACGCGTTATGATGCGTCATGAGGGGTCACGAGGTGTCATGAGGTGTCATGAGGCGTGGTGGGATGCCACGGGGTGTTATGAGGAGTCAGGAGGTGTCAGGAGGTGTCACGAAGCCACGTGGGGTGTCACGAGTCCTCTTGAGGCCAGGGTCTCATTGTGTCTCACACAAAGCATCGTGATTTGACCAGTTACACAGATCATGGGGGAGAGTTCACTCCCCTCTTCACAGAAGTTCTATTATAACCCGCGGTTCAACTGCACGTATGTACTCCCCCCGACTTTCACTGTTGATGTTTCACAAAACAATCAACAAGGGTCAATTCACAAGCCAATCCAAAATACCTTTGGACATGGAGCGCCACAGTCGCTCTTCATATGCTTCAGACCACCACCGGAGGCCCGCCGCTCGACTTCATCGCCACTCACTCCTCCTGTTGCTCCTGGTGCCTGGCTGAACACCTCCTCCTCTCCGTAAGCTGCTGGAAACGTCGTGTGGTCGTTCTCCTTCTCTGCCCGCACGAAGACCCCCAGAGGCATGGCGCACTGCTGTGCTCCTATGCTCGAACGGAGTCACATATTCCGCCTCTGTCTTTGCGTTCTTCCCGTGAGTGCGCCCTGCGGCGGAGGAGCTGAGCCTCCCTCGCCGACCACGGGATACGTCCGGCCATTCCCAGGGAGGCAAGAAGGATGGTTGTCGTGGGGACGATGATGTTCCATTCACACTCCACCCCACTTGGCGATCATGGTACCGTCTCTGCTGCTGGTGCTGGTGCTGCGATGCAGCCTTCAGGACTCATCACCGTCCCCCGAGAACAGGGAGAGGAGGCCAGTTGGCAGCGCTTGCGGTGACGCGGGTAGCTGGTTCTGGACGAAGGGTGAAGAGGAATATGCGAAAGCCTTGCCACTGTGACTGTCTGCAGCTACTGCCCCGCATTGGTCGCGTCCGAGGTGCTTCCCCTGGGATGACGGCGATGTTCTTTGTCGTGAGGTACGGTCGCCTCCGGTTGAGGATATCGCGGTCGTCTGACACGCTGGTGTTGGTGACTCCAAGCGATCAAACTGTTTGCTCCTTGACGCTCCTGTACATGCGTCGAAACCAATTGACCGTCACAATCAATGCCAGGGCCTCTGCCGTCTCGGCAGCCAAATTGTATTCATTTCGAAGGCGTCCGTGATTACGGAGAGTTTTACAGAGGTACGCCGCTACAGGTCAATGACTCCCACCTCGCCACAGTCTATAGAGTTCAGTGCCAGCCCGGTCATCACGGCGTGCCTCATGATGCTCATGTCGGAGGGCCCTTCGGTGAGATTTCACTGCACACGCTGCGGTTGTGTGGTCTCAGACCTTTGTCGTGAAACCTTTGGAGAGGGGGCACGGAAATTGATGTTGGACACCAAACACGGGGGCCCTCGATTCACAAAAAGGTAGCCTCTGAACGTATGCATACACGGCGAAAGTCCATCTCCACCTTACTCGTTGCAAGGGCCAAGACTAGAACGTCTCAGGCAAGTGCAGCTTGGATAGGCTGGTGCCCCAGCTGTGATAGTGCGTCCAGGACCGAGTGCTGTTTCGTGAATCAAGTGCCGTTTGTGACACAATCGTCTTGCCGGTTCACTCTTGATACTGGAGGGAATGAAACACACTTGCACCCCCTGGGCCGCGCTGCTACCTTAATGGCAGAACCACATTGCTCTCGTAGGAGGGCCACACTGCAGCAGTGTTGTCGACAATATGTGACTTTGAGCCTGTCATTAGACTTTGTTCACGTTACCACCTGGCTGGTAGTTTCAGTTTGGTCTACAAAAGGTTGTGACCATGAAAACATGTGTCGCAGTCTCTCTCTGGAGAACAGGGCCAGGGTCGCACTGAAGAAGGAAGGTTTGTAAAATGTGTGCTGGCGCGTGCCTTGATTTTGAATGCGAGAAACGTTTACCTTGTCGACAAAACAGTCGAACGTGTAGCGAATACACGAGATATGAATTACGTCGCTCGTTGCCTGTGGAGCACGATGCGAGAACCAATCCGAGTTTGTGTGACAGTGTGGGGATTCGAACCCACGCCTCAACCCTCGGAAGAAAGCCAGATAGTCTAGCGGATAAATGATATTCATTGACATGTGAGCGAACAGCCGTGCGACAGCCAGCAAGCCTTTCATCACCTTCGTTCTCGCTGAGTCTGCCGCACGTGGTTCGAGAGGAAAACCGCCGAGGGACTCAATTCCACTTCGTCCCGCAGGGGGTGCGCTGGTGTTTCGTAATAGCAATGCCCATTACTGTTGCTCGATACGGTAGGACGATATGACCATGGCATCTACAGCAACATTTATCTGCCCTACACTCGTACAGGATGGTCTCAGTCTTCGAAGCATAGCGCCGCCGTCTAGACGTTGGACAACGATGAAGATATACCACAAAACAACGTTCTGCACAAGGATAGGTTCAAAATCACCAATTACCATGCCCGCATACACATCCCCGAAGGTAGCTGATGCCGGCTGGCAACTATCTGAGCATGTTCAAACAATCAGGCCTATTCATCCGAGGTGAAGCACCCAAGCTCTACAAACACCCGGCATCCATTGCGCAGGTAAACAGCCCAGCAATAAGAGTCACCTGAGACCAACATACCCAACACAGCTGGAATGGGGGGCTCCAGGCACACAAAGCCAGCAGCAGTGGTAGTGAGTACTTGGGTGTAAGGCGTGGAATACACTACACTGAAATTCTGCGAAAACAATTTACATGTTGCTAGTCTGTTCAACCCTGACGTCATTTATCACGTGCCATGGATGGAATACGTGAAGAAGAGAATACAGCAACATTTCGGTGTCTGTGACAACACTTCCCCGATTATACACACTTGTATAAGAGAAAATGGAAGTACTACAGATTACGGCTGGGCCAGACCACACGACACATACGCCTAGGGGAAGCAATTGAGCCTACGATTCCCCCACCAATCTACATTTTCTCCAGCCACGTTGGCTCACCAGAGACGCTGTCCGGTGTCATCTCCGCCATCACACGGTGCATCTGAAATGGCATGGGCAGCATCCAGCCAATCTTCTTCGACAATGCCATCTTCACCCGTATCCTCTGGCTTCCTGTCTCGCTCAGTACTTTCTAGCAACCCCAACAGAGATGGCTCGGGCGTCGTGACCCCCCTGGCAACACCCACGGAGTAAAGGCCTGCCTCAGATTGACCGAATGCATGACGTGAGGATATCGGCGAAGTGGGTTGTGCTCTAGGTGCCAGAAATGGCACGATGTCACTCTCAACCCCGCTGTCAGTAGGCCACACGGGTGCGGTCCCGATGATCTTTCCAGGAATGCTGTTGAAGGCCGTCAGACTCTCGCGCTGGGTGTATCCGTGACCATGAGGAGCACCCTCGTCGATGTCGCTGCCAGTGGCCGATGTTCCAAAGTCGGCATCGATGCCTTCGATGGGTGGCTCCAAGAAGGGTCTCATGTGCCCGCAGGGGACGAGTACCTCGATGGATCTGCCAAGCACGTGGCAAGTGCCGGAAAACGTGCTCACATGGAGGGAGTTGCTGCTGAAAACTGTTCACACAGTAGTCCACGGTGCGCCGTGTGCTTCACGTCACCGTAGGCGCGAGGACGAGACCTTCGCCGTCAAAGCCATACTCTACCAACCCCTGGCGAACCCTGGTATTTTTCCCGCTCGGCACCTGCACACCACATCATGTGCATGGGACTATGATCTCGCGAACATACATACCTGCAGAATATTTCGTCGCAGAAGGCGCCCACTCCGCGCCACTCCACGAAAGAGGGCACGGGCTGGGACCCAGGGGGACGAAAAGAGTTCGAAATCACCCGTAACCTGTCGTACACCGCGCGATCACTCGAATCGCCGGCCGCTGCGAGACACATCAGCAACACGTGTGTCATGTGGCACCTTTTGGACAGGTCCGCAAAAGAGGGGCGAGGAGAAAAGAGGGCATCACGAAAGACGCGTCGACTCGATAACAACCACCAAAAACGTCGCATTCTTTGCAAGCAGGATAGCGGCGAGAAATACCTATAGACTGGTTGTACCACATGCATAGTCGGGCAGTGATCATGGCTTCCGCGAATGGTGAGAAGAACGCTCTCATCAACTAAAACGGTAGATCCATCAAACTCGAGAACCAGTGGCAAAAGGGATCTATGATGTTAAACCATCCCGAAAGCGAGGTTGAAACATCTGTGTTTGTTGTACTCGGTTGAAACTCCAATCTGCGGTCCAACGGTGTGTAATATTATTGCAGAGGTTGACAAGTCGGAGCCGTTGCTCCGGGTATCGTTCACTTTTTGAATGACAGGGCGTGGTTTGAGTGACCTCGGTTCTTGGTTCCCCATCTCGCGCTAGAGGGATTGACGAGGCCCACTTCACTTCCTTTGATATTCAGAAACGTGACATTGAGAGGAGGACTTCACATTGTAACGAGCCGTACTGCTCGGGCAACCCTGTAAAAGGAGAGCGGACGTTGCCTACGCCACCTGAAAAACTACTACCATCACCGCCTCCTCCGCAAGTCTCAAGGAGCTCAGGAACGACTCACCCGATCATGCAGCGACACAAGCCAGGATATCGCTCAAGCACTTCAATGCAACGGCCCATTCTCTCTCGTGTGGCATGCAGATCGCCCTTCGCCGCCGTCTCCACGATGCAGGGTCTTTTGGATGGAGGAGGGTCCGTAGGGGCGATAAAGCAGTGTGTCAGAAAATCCTGCTGGGCTGGAGAACAATTCTTTTCCGACAAAATATACCAGGTGCCAGCGCCACCATTTCGCAGGTACAGTCAAACCGCCAAGCGTAGGGATTGCTGAATGTGAGGGTACAAGACGGTGCGGCGTCCCAGGCCGGTGTTGGGTTCTTGAGTACACCACTCTGCAGCAGGCAACGCGTTCAAGAAGCAGTTAAGGTATACGGCCACGACAAAGGAATGGCTGGGGGTGGGATTCACGTGTGCTCTCATCATGTTAGAGGGGTGCCAACATCCACGTCTTCAACACTTCCACCCCAGCTCACCCGTCGATGAAAAGAACGCCGATCCCCCGACGAATGCTTGATCTTCTCACCGAGGAGACCGACCGCACCCCAGTGCGAGTCGATTGCGGTGGAGACGTATAACAACGGTTGTACGGAAACGCGAGAGCCGGCCGAAGAGGGAAGCAAACATGAGAGTTCGATCCGAGCCTCGTGATGGTGTTTGTTGGCGTTGCAGCTACCCGTTGTCGGAGTTGGCGAGAAATAGCTCGGGCCTCGACAAATCCTTGATATGTCAGATCAGCTTCACCTTGGAAAAATATCTCCAAACGTACCACGGTGCTAACCAACCACGGGTACGCTCTCCTGCTTTGCAACGTGAATGTCCACTCACCGATCCACGGCTTCTTGAAGTGGTCCAAAATCGATACCATCGCCATCGTCCAACAACGACTTCAAAGCCTTAGAGAAATCAGAAGCCGTAAAGTCTTCCGGGAGAGGTAGTACCCCGCCTGGCCTGCCATGAGGCTCAGAGTCGCACAGGCCGTTGCCGCCACTCTCGCTCTGCTCGATCATGGTCGTGTAGATCGCCTCCTCAAACGCTACGCAAGATCGAGAGACGTATCGATACAGCTCGGCTTCGGTAGCAGCCTCGTTTAACTGGGAGCGTCGTGACCACAAAAGCGGAGGGGTAGGGTAGGTGCAAAACAATGATGTTGAGCAGTTAGCAGCCATTCTCCTCGCTCGGCTCTGCGTACTCAAGGCCTGTTTCCACGAAGCAAAACGACGCTGCCGGTGGGCGGAGAATCTTTGTCCCCTGGAATATACGCGAGAGCCCAGCTGATCATACTTGGCATGAGAATGGGCATCGCCAAGCGACCCCTCGATGCAACCAGCGTGCGTACCTGAGGAGGAAGGTTTTCTCCTTGGACAGGGAAAGACTCCATCTGCCACTCCCCACAGGACACGTTGGCGATGTCTTTGAACTTGACGATCTCGGCGAAACCCTGGTCAGCGCATGGCCGCACGGAAGACGCAGAGAAGCAATAAACACAGCTGCCCCAACGGCAGCGCGAGGAGGCAAGAGGACTCCCGCTTGTTCATATCAGTGACTTGATAGTTGCCAGTGTAGGATGGTCTCCAAGGAACCGGGAAAGTTATTCGGTTCGGATCACACAATCACACAATGAAGGTGACTGTGGCAGGAAACCTCCATCGCACGCACAACTCAAGCCGAACATCCTTGAGGGAGCCACCATCAGCGCTCAACCTGTAACCTCCAGCGCCAAGAAAAACTCTCAGCACCAACCTCACCACTGGAAGGGTATCGATGGACCCTTGCTCGATAGAACTTCTCAAGAATGAGCCCGAAAGAGCCAGGTATTTCTCGAACCGCTCCTGAAGGAACACATGTACCATGTGGCACATGTACCATGTGGTTATTGAACGAACGCACGTCGGAGGACACAACGATTACACCTCAGCTGGAGCGGATCATTACTCCAAAGTGCCAAACGCGTTCATTGGAACGACCCACCTGTAGTCTCCTTACCGGCCTGACGCGTTGTCACAAGATACCAAAACGAAGTTCCAAGGGTCAGGAGCGGTGGACATCCAAGCGTAGGGCACAGTCACGGAACGAAGCTCACCTTGTCTCCCATAAAGCCGTGCAGGTTAGCCAGAATTACCCATGCCCTGGCCAGAAACAAAAAAACAGGGAGAACAAAGATGCACGTGAGTTATCATCGCCAAACTACTAAAAACCTCGTGAGCAGAGAAACCTGGCGGACAGGTCTCGAACACAAGCACCAAGAGGGTCGAGATCACAGCATCCACAGAGGAACGCCTGGGTGAAGCGATACGAGAATCGAAAATCGCGCATTCCCTCGAATGAGTGTAGGTTGTTCTGGGTTGACTCACTTCGCGACCTCGGCGTTTCCGGGACCGGAATTGCTATTGGCAAGCGCTTCTTCTGCCAGTTGGGCGTAACTTGTCACCTGCGGCAGCGAGGCACCAAATGTGTAGACGGAGGTCTGTCACACGGACGAACAAGCCTCGACGGCACCCTACGGCAAATAGTGACCTCAATGACGTGCGAGAAACGGCCGGAATATTTGGCAAACAACAACTCATTCTCACACTTATGCCTTGGAAAACGACACGCCGGTTCATACCGATTCGATCGGGCTACCCTTCACGAGCGCCCCGAGAGCAACCGCACACCAGAACGTGCACGCTGAAGGGTCCATAGCAAGCTGGTTTCCTGCAGAGATCTTGCTCAGATCGCCCCCCGGAGCGACTGCTTCGAAGTAGCGCTCTCCCTCGTCACAGTTGTCCCCAAGGACTGGCTGCTGAGAGGAGGCGGGGGGTAACATGATCTTCACCATTGTCTCCCGAATGTGACTGGCAGAAATAACACAGATGGCGCGAAAGTGCCACGGGTCGGATGATTGCGTAGCGTACAGTACTGTAGGAGGGAAGAGCGGGAAGAAATACAACAAAAACTACAACTTGAGACGAGCATGTCAACGCCGCTTGCGTTGCGGCAGCTTCGATGACGTATAAATAGGCCAAGGTCGCGAATCAATCGCCGCGTGGACGCAGGCAGCATTTACGACCCAATCCGTACGCGGTTCCAGGCAAGCTGGATGTGATACCTCGGGGTGGTGAGTGGAAGGAAACCAACGCAGCCGAAGAAGTCGCTGAGGAACGCGTTCTCCTGCATTCCCACAAGGCCACTTGCCGGAGAGGCACTTAACCTACATCTGCTACCCCACGATTGAGAGCACGACACGAATGACAGGGGGAGGGGGGGGTGTACTCATGGTCGTGAGTGCCGTAGTCGTTTGGCCATTGGCCTCGCATCCCTACAAAGCCGGGATGAAGCACGCCGGGTTCTCACTGGGTTCTCACCGGACCAGGCTCTCACTTGACCAAGCGCGAAGCGCCGTGAGGTATTTGGCGAGTTGCATGGAGGGTGCGCTGCGTCCTGCTAAGGGTGTTCGGCATCTTGTGCTTACTTCCTTGCGTACGGATGACAGCTGCGTATGACTTTATTATTTTCTGGTGCTTTCACTTCCAGAGACATCAATAAGCACTGCGTAACTGCCTCGAGGGTGCTTGACTATTTGAACACAACGTGGTGCGATCACCCCCTTTCCGCGGATTCTCGTCCCCGCACAACATAATCTACTCGACCACCATTATGGTTACCGCAAAAAAAACACCAAAAGGAAAAAAAACTTGTAACCTGGTTGTCGAGCTCACGAAGCGATCGACTTGTTTAATAACGTCGTTGCCAAGCGACGAAAGCCCAACCCCGATGGCAAACGCCGGGGGGGGGGGGGGTGTACTCACAGTCGTGCATGCCGTAGTCGTTTGACCATTGACCTCGCATCCCTACAAAGCCGGGACGGAGCGCGCCGGGTTCTCACCGGACCAGGCTCTCACATCACCAAGCGCGAAGCGCCGTGAGGTATTTGGCGAGTCGCATGAAGGGTGAGCTGCATCCTGCTAAGGGTGTTCGGCATCTTGTGCTTACTTCCTTGCGTACGGATGACAGCTACGTATGACTTAATTTATGTTCTGGTGCTTTCACTTCCAGAGACAGTTGTAAGCACTGTGTAACTGCCTCGAGGAAGCTTGAGCATTTTAACGCAACGTGGTGCGATCATCCCCCGTTGCGCGGAGTGAGGTTTCTCGACCCCGCACAACATGATCTACTCGACCACCATTATGGTTACCGCAAAAAAAAAAAACGAGGTAAAAAAACCCCCGGTAACCTGGTTGCCGAGTTCACGAAGTGAATTGGCTTGTTTTACAACGTCGTTGCCAAGCGACGAAAACCCAATCCCGATGGCAAACGCCGAGTGGGGGGCTTGTTTTACAACGTCGTTGCCAAGCGACGAAAACCCAAACCCCGATGGCAAACACCGGGGGGGGCGGCTTGTTTTACAACGTCGTTGCCAAGCGACGAAAACCCAAACCCCGATGGCAAACACCGGGGAGGGGGATGGGGGGGGGGAGCAGGGCGGGGGTATGGAAAACCGTGCAACCAGAACGCCACGGGTAACCTCAGTCGGCACGAGAGGCGACAAGCCAGCTGTTTTGATGTTGGTCGACATCGCTGCTCTGCATTGTGACTATAATAGTCGACCATCCTTGGCCATGGGTGAGACCCCGATTTATGGGAACAAAATCTTGTCGATAAATCTTGATCTTGGCCAAGATCTGCCAGTTTCACGATTTATGGGAGCGAAATCTTCCGATATATCTTGGCCAAGATTTCTCGAGGCCCGATATCTGCCCTTTCGAACAAATCTTGACCCAAGATCTGTCGAAACGAGCCTTCCGACAAATCTTGAGGCGGCGTAACAAATCTTGCCTCAGTGCGGCGCGATCACCGAAGGTCAGTCAACCTAATCGTCCATAACGCGATGAAATCTGCACGTGACACACTCGCAAGGGTCTCTAACGCACCCTGGCGTCACTGTGTCGGCGCCACGGGCGCCGACAGCGAACGAAAACAACCAAGGCGCGCGAAAAAAATGCTTATTTTGCCCTGGCTCGTTCCACGTGCGTCATCACCAGTCTGTCGAGGGACCGTTCAAAGAGTACTTTATTTTGAAGTAGAAAAATAGAGCAGGAGGAACGTTTTGCCAACACTGCTCTGTCGTGTGCGACTCTTCTATCTCTTCATCGAATCACCCCACACCCAACCCGTTTGCACCCGAGCCAAATCCGTGGGTGCAGATGACAGCGCCGGAGGTTTGACCTCGGTACGCTTGCTACATCGTGAGATACGTGCATGGGTGTCATCGGCCTCGGGTTGATGCACTTTCTTGTCAGTTGGACAGCAATGGAACAGTTTTGTTTCTCCGCTTGACATGAGCTCGTGGGCAACGGATTCAATTTTGCACCACAGGTAGGCGCCCATCGCTAGTATCCACCCACAGTGTTGAGGCAATACACCTGGGGGAGGGATGCCCCTTCTAAAACTGCGTCATGCTCACTTTTCGCCACACCTTGGCATTTTCTGTGGACCAAGTGGCCGTTGTGCCTTTTCCAACTTCAAGCAGAAGAGAGGAACAACACGCCGCTTTTTCAACATTCAACATATATCCCCCATAAATCGCGATACTGCAAATCTTCGCGGAGATATATTGTGAGCAAATCTTGGGTCAAAATGCCAAGATATAATTGCAAGATAATGTTTCCATAAAGAAGGGTCTGATGCCAGCCGTGGTTGGAACTCTCGTTGTTGGTATCTACTAGGGATTTTGCCCTCTTCCCGGCATGGTTCTTCGATCTCGGCTCTTCCACAGTCCCCCGCCCACAGGTGAGTAGTCGGGTGATCTCACGCTTGCCTCGGCGGCGGTTGGATCTGGGAAAGGCTACTTTTTTCACTGATTGGTCCAGGAAGTTACGAGTACTTTTCATGTTTGTGCCCCTGTTTGCGTCCCAATACATGTGTCTGCCGTGAGTCATGCCAGCCATTCCTGAAACTTTCAATCGATCCAAGACGATCCGAGAAACCACCTGTTCGTTTGTCCCAAACATTTTGTGTTTGTCTGCTGTGGACAAATATCACCCACCCACACACCACAGTACGCAGTGAACGAGAGAGCGGAGAATGAGAGGCAGGAAAGGAGGGAGAAAGATAATCTACAATGCTCTGCCCGGCTGCACACACCGTTCAATGGCGAGCATGCGCAATGTTCTCTTGGCTACTACCACGTGCAAAGCAACCGAAAGAGACTACCCTACTTCACCTTTTGAACGGCAACACGCCAGAAGTCACGAGTGCGCCGGTGGTGGAGTGAAGCAGAACGTCCTTCGCCTTTATGCCATTCCGATCAGGGCCCTGAGGCTGATGCTGCCGCATGCGTGCTCGTTCGCCATACCGCCGTCTTTCGCTGTACGTGCATTGATCGCCTGATCGCACACAGCGCCTAGAAGATGTTGGTACAAGAGGGGAACAGTCAGCGAAGCAGTCCAATAACGGCACAGCAACGTCGAGCTAAACGTGTTGGTGTGACAATATGTAACGCTACTGGACAGTTTGTGGAGGGGAAGGCAACCCATTTGCCCCAAGCCTCCAAGCGCCAGAAGGTAGTGTTTCCCCGAGCTGTGGGCACAGGAGACATTGCAAGGTGGTTGGTTATAAAGAGAATATACGTAATGTCCTACAAGTACGCAACTCAAATACTTCATCCGTGTTGAAACCAACGAGAATACGCTAATGAGCCGCGACAGTTTCTTGTTTTACCCAGGACGTAGAAAACAGGGTTGATCGACCTGTTACAACGCGATGCAGGCCTTGGTTTGAATACCATCGTTATTCCGGGGGCCCTCATAACCCTCCATTTAGACCCAAACAAGACCTGCGGAGCACCGAGTGATGATCTGATGGCTTCTGATGAAGAAGAAAGTAGGGCACGCCTCGTTACACCGGATTGGTGGTGCTCCGTCAAGATGTGGCCGTGCTATACAGGCATTTGTCCCGAACATGGGAGATACCTCACCCTAACCCCGGAAGTTGTCGAGGTAAATTAGCACCACAAATTGGAGACCCCGCGTGCGAATTTCGCAGCCAGCTACAGTAGCTACATAGCCAGAAGCCAGAAGAAACCGAGGTGACACACTCAGCTAAGTCCCGCACACCCACAGAAACACACCCACCCGCCGTGGTCCAATCCCTTCCACATGTGGAAGCAAATCAGTAACAGCAAACCTGTGCCTGCTCTCTGGCTTCACAACAAGAAATCTTTGTTGGCGATGCGTTCTTCTTGCCGTTGGAAAAATCTCACGACCGACGGGTGTAAAACAAAAAATGGAAGTCACTGCCACAGCAGCAGCAACAGAGAGCGAAGTCGAGGCGTCGGTGTGCTGTTGCGCATTCGCCACACGAGATTCAGGTACGATGTAGGGATGATGTCGTGCATTGGACCGTAAATGGGGTGCCTGGGGGGGCGAGCAAAGCAGACATACGACGCCGCCTCCAGCAATCGAAATATGAGAAATGAGGGTGAGATGGTGAGATGGTCCATCCACGTACGTGAGAGCACGGTTAGAACGGTCAGGGCTGGCTCTGTCTGAATCCTTGAATTGTGTTCCGACTAATCAGTAAATTAGTCCATCCGACTAGTCAACGTTGACTGAGTAGTCTGATGGGTGAGCCTTTCTAACAAAAGATATACTCTCGGCTCGTTGCCATCCAGCTGGTCACTAAGATTTTTAGACGTAGGGATCTCCGGGGACGGACCCCTCGCCAGGCGCTGCCGGAAAAAGAACTAATGGTGCTTATGAAAGTGACCAGCTGGGATTCGAACCCGTGCGTGCATCCTTCGTTAGTCGGGCGCTCACTCGATCTTGCTCGGTGTCGCTCATCGGTGGCTGCTGCTGATCGCCGTAACGCGATACTCCAAGCTAAAGTCGACTCCAATCTCGTAGACGACGTGTCATACGCTAGCGTGATCGATACTTCGGGTGGCTCAGTTGTGTGTGATGGGAGCGTAGAGCAGCTCGGCCATGACGGGCCGCAAGGGTAGGTAAAGACGTGTAGACGTGTTGAAAAACGTGTTGTATTCATCGGGGGCGTGCTTGAGCTCGTCATTCCATCACGGCATCAAGTCACGCATAACGCTTTAACACCCAGAACGAATCTCCATGAATCTCCACCAATCTACCACACTCCCAAGGAAAACACAAAGAAACTTCTTGTTACTCCGTAGTTCGTCACTGCAATCCCCGCATATGTATACGCAATATACCACCCCCATGCTATGCTACGAGTATATCGAATACCGACCACCACACCGCCGTGCCCGATGGGCTCTATCTGCATGTATTTAGTATATCCGTACCCGCCGTCATTGTTCATAGAGCCAGCGGCAGTACTGTTACGTGCAGATTGTTTGGCATGCCGTAACAGGGTCAGTGTCATGGTGTGTGGGTTGATGTGTTCCTGTGCGTGTAGCATTCCAGCGGGTGGGGCGGATGCACCCGTCTTGATCTGCGGACACTACAGTAGCATTTACGTATGCATATGCATATGCATATGAATTGTCGCGTGGTGTGACTGCTGCCTGGAAGCAGCATGTCTCGAGCGAACAGCCGTTGCGTCCTCTTGAATGGACACAAGAAGTGTACCGCTGTGTATGGTTACTGTGAGTAAGTAGCCTACACAGCCGTAGTGCATTCGGCACTCACCCACAAGGTCGTTTACCATCACAGCTCTTCTTTTTTCGTGCGCATTCTGAGCAGCTCCTACACATTCTGCGCAGGATTGGACGCAAGCGATTCCCTTCTTCGTGACCAACGTGGTTGTCCCCATGGCTCCATGATGGCGATGTTGTAGTTGAGACATCCATGCTTCCCCGGTAGCTGCGATCGGTTTTTCTCGAGGGGGACGAACCTACTGATCACGCTACCGACTGACTCTAAGTTGCCAGCGGCGAATTAGCGGGACGAGTTTTCTGTAGCCTCCTATTGGCTAAAACCAACAGTATTGCACCATGTAGGAAAAATGACGGCTGTGAGACTCTGTAGACTTGCCCTTTATCCAGCGTGTGTCTACCAGGTGCCTACTGCGCTGCTTCTCTGACGGTAGATATCTCCCGCACGCTGCTTTTGGAGATCTCCGTACGAAACTGTACAGTGCATCTATCGAATACATATACTGTACATCCACGTCCAAACAGAAGCAACAACAGTAGTTGAGACCGTGCCTCGTTCGAAAAGGAATGCCTACATGTCTGCATCTAGAGACCAAGCGTTCCGTGTCCCAAGGGGACAACGTATCATTTCGGTCCGCTCTGGCATCGTGTGTTGTCTAATTTTCAGCGCACTGTGCAGGACGGAAGCGGCCCATGCTGCACAGGAAGCTGAGTGTGGCTGCGTAATATGTGTGCAGGGGTGATACCGGTCGCATTTCCCCCCCTCGTCTCGTTGAACCAGGGGAAAGTGAGAGAGGCGAACATAGACTATACGATCCCGTTGAATCCATCTCCATTTGGATTAATCCATCTCCACATATTTCTGTATGCGGCACAAAATTTTCAAGTTTCCCAGCGGTAGACTCTTCCTGATGAAGGTGCCGGAGAGAAAACGAAGAAGAGAGCGCCACCACCGCCACCCATGACCTACAGTACGACACCGCTGGCGATCGAAGTAGCGAGACAGAAGTACGCCCAGAAAGCGGAGAGACGACATCTGGATAGTCGGGTCAAAGAAGATGCTGAAACCACGCAGCAGATCAACCGACGGAGTAGAGCAGCTTGGGCGTGCCTCCGGAAGTGCGCCCGGGAGCTCTTCCACAGGCCTGCAGCACCGCGCGGGGACAATATCCGGCTCCTAAACGCGGAAGCGATATAGGCCCTGCTGTACGGATGCATGACGTGGGTCCCGCGCCGCAAGCACTACGACCTGCTGATGAGTACGCACTGCCGTTTTCTGCTACGGGTCGTCGGCCACCGCCGCACGCGCGGCCATTTATCGGCAGCTCTCGTGCGCCCAAGCCCTGAAAATGGTCGGGTGCCAACGCTTGGAGGCTGCTGTCCGACTACGGCGACTACTGTGTGCTGGAGCTTTGACAAGACAACCGGACGGGCGACTCCCGAAGCGATTGATGTTCGGAGACACTGTGGGGGGCAAGGACCCAAACAGCGGGCGTCCGGAAAAGAATCGGGTGTTGTGCTTACAGAACGACTTCGTAGAGTTCGGTGCCAACGCCGAATCCGCAGATGACGACCTTATTAGATAAAATTAGACCATCTGATCAGTCGACGAACGCGTTGACGGATCAGATGGTCTAATTTTATCTAATAAAAGATATGCGCTGAGCTCGTTAGCACCCGGCCGGATCACATGGGCTTGAGGCTGTTAGAAGCTTAATCACTGGGATTGAGCGTAGAGATCTCCGGGGACGGACCCCTCGCCATACGCCGCTGTTTGGTAAACAAATGGCGGTTCTTCTGTAAGTGGACCACTGGGATTCGAACCCGTGCGTGGAACCTTGTGTAAGAAAGCCCAGAGGCATGGCGCACTGCTGTGCTCCTATGCTCGAACGGAGTCACATATTCCGCCTCTGTCTTTGCGTTCTTCCCGTGAGTGCGCCCTGCGGCGGAGGAGCTGAGCCTCCCTCGCCGACCACGGGATACGTCCGGCCATTCCCAGGGAGGCAAGAAGGATGGTTGTCGTGGGGACGATGATGTTCCATTCACACTCCCACCCCACTTGGCGATCATGGTTACCGTCTCTGTTGCTGGTGCTGGTGCTGCGATGCAGCCTTCAGGACTCATCACCGTCCTACGAGAACAGGGAGAGGAGGCCAGTTGGCAGCGTTTGCGGTGACGCGGGTAGCTGGTTCTGGACGAAGGGTGAAGAGGAATATGCGAAAGCCTTGCCACTGTGACTGTCTGCAGCTACTGCCCCGCATTGGTCGCGTCCGAGGTGCTTCCCCTGGGATGACGGCGATGGTTCTTTGTCGTAACGTACGGTCGCCTCCGGTTGAGGATATCGCGGTCGTCTTGACACGCTGGTGTTGGTGACTCGAAGCGATCAAGCTGTTTGCTCCTTGACGCTCCTGTACATGCGTCGAAACCAATTGACCGTCGCAATCAATGCCAGGGCCTCTGCCGTCTCGGCAGCCAAATTGTATTCATTTCGAAGGCGTCCGTGATTACGGAGAGTTTTACAGAGGTACGCCGCTACAGGTTAATAGCTCCCACCTCGCCACAGTCTATAGAGTTCAGTTCCAGCCCGGTCATCACGACGTCACTCATGATGCTCATGTCGGAGGGCCCTTCGGTGAGATTTCACTGCACACGCTGCGGTTGTGTGGTCTCAGACCTTTGTCCTGAAACCTTCGGAGAGGGGGCACGGAAATTGATGTTGGACACCAAACACGGGGGCCCTCGATTCACAAAAAGGTAGCCTCTGAACGTATGCATACACGGCGAAAGTCCATCTCCACCTTACTCGTTGCAAGGGCCAAGACTAGAACAACGTCTCAGGCAAGTGCAGCTTGGATAGGCTGGTGCCCCAGCTGTGATAGTCAGTCCACGACCGAGAGCTGTTTCGTGAATCAAGTGCCGTTTGTGACACAATCGTCTTGCCGGTTCACTCTTGATACTGGAGGGAATGAAACACACTTGCACCCCCTGGGCCGCGCTGCTACCTTCATGGCAGAACCACATTGCTGCACTCTTGTAGAAGGGCTCACACTGCAGTAGTGTTGTCGGCAATATGTGACTTTGAGCCTGTCATTAGACTTTGTTTACGTTATCACCTGGCTGGTAGGTTTCAGTTTGGTCTACAAAAGGTTGTGACCATGAAAACATGTGTCGCAGTCTCTCTCTGGAGAACAGGGCCAGGGTCGCACTGGAGAAGGAAGGTTTGTAAAATGTGTGCTGGCGCGTGCCTTGATTTTGAATGCGAGAAACGTTTCCCTTGTCGACAAAACAGTCGAGCGTGTAGCGAATACACGAGATAGGAATTTTGTCGCTCGTTGCCTGTGGAGCACGATACGAGAACCAATCCGAGTTTGTGTGACAGTGTGGGGATTCGAACCCACGCCTCAACCCTCGGAAGAATGCCAGATAGTCTAGCGGATAAACGATATTCATTGACATGTGGGCGAACAGCCGTGCGACAGCCAGCAAGCCTTTCATCACCTTCGTTTTCGCTGTGTCTGCCGCACGTGGTTCGAGAGGAAAACCGCCGAGGGACTCAATTCCACTTCGTCTCGCAGGGGGTGCGCTGGTAGCAATGCCCATTGCTGTTGCTCGATACGGTAGGAGGATATGACCATGGAATCTACAGGAGCATCTATCTGCCCTACACGCGTACAGGATGGTCTCAGTCTTCGAAGCATAGCGCCGCCGTCTAGACGTTGGACAAAAATGAAGATATACAACACTACAACATTCTGCACAAGGATAGGTTCACACCAATTACCATGCCCGCATACACATCCCCCGAAGGTAGCTGATGCCGGCTGGCAACTATCTGCGCATGTTCAAACAATCAGACCTATTCATGCGAGGTGAGGCACCCAAGCTCTACAAACACCCGGCATCCATTGCGCAGGTAAACAGCCCAGCAATAAGTCACCTGAGACCAACATACCCAACACAGCTGGAATGGGGGGCTTCAGGCACACAAAGCCAGCAACAGTGGTAGTGAGTACTTGGGAGTAAGGCGTGGAATACACTACACTGAAATTCTGCGAAAACAATTCACATGTTGCTAGTCTGTTCAACCCTGAAGTCATTTATCACATACCATGGATGGAATACGTGAAGAAGAGAAAACAGCAACATATCGGTATCTGTGACAACACTTCCCCGATTATACACACTTGTATCAGAGAAAATGGTAGTACCACAGATCACCGCTGGGCCAGACCACACGACACATACGCCTAGGGGAAGCAATTGAGCCTACGATTCCCCCACCAACCTACATTTTCTCCAGCCACGTTGGCTCACCAGAGACGCTGTCCGGTGTCATCTCCGCCATCACACGGTGCATCTGAAATGGCATGGGCAGCATCCAGCCAATCTTCTTCGACAATGCCATCTTCACAGGTATCCTCTGGCTTCCCGTCTCGCTCAGTACTTTCTAGCAACCCCAACAGAGATGGCTCGGGCGTGGTGACCCCCCTGGTAACACCCACGGAGTAAAGGCCTGCCTCAGATTGACCGAATGCATGATTTGAGGATATCGGCGAAGTGGGTTGTGCTGCAGGTGCCACGGGCCCGATGTCCCTCTCAACCCCGCTGTCAGTGTGCCACACGGGTGCAGTCCCGATGATCCTTCCAGGAATGCTGTTGAAGGCCGGCAGTATCTCATGCTGGGTGTATCCGTGACCATGAGGAACACCCTCGTCGATGTCTCTGCCAGTGGCCGTTGTTCCAAAGTCGGCATCGATGTCGTCGACGGGTGGCTCCAAGAAGGGTCTCATGTGCCCGCAGGGGACGAGTACCTCGATGGATCTGCCAAGCACGTGGCAAGTGCCGGAAAACGTGCTCACATGGAGGGAGTTGCTGCTGAAAACTGTTCACACAGTAGTCCACGGTGCGCCGTGTGCTTCACGTCACCGTAGGCGTGAGGACGAGACCTTCGCCGTCAAAGCCATACTCTACCAACCCCTGGCGAACCCTAGTATTTTTCCCGCTCGGCACCTGCACACCACATCATGTGCATGGGACTTTGATCTCGCGAACATACATACCTGCAGATTATTTCGTCGCAGAAGGCGCCCACTCCGCGCCACTCCACCAAAGGAGGCACGGGCTGGGAGCCAAGAGGACGAAAAGAGTTCGAAATCACCCGTAACCTGTCGTACACCGCGCGGTCACTCGAATCGCCGGCCGCTGCGAGACATATCAGCAACACGTGTGTCATGTGGCACCTTTTGGACAGGTCCGCAAAAGAGGGGCGAGGAGAAAAGAGGGCATCACGAAAGACGCGTCGACTCGATAGCAACCGCCAAAATATCAGAAGAAATGTCGCATTCTTTGCAAGCAGGATAGCGGCGAGAAATACCTGTAGACTGGTGTACCACATGCATAGTCGGGCAGTGATCATGGCTTCCGCGAATGGTGAGAAGAACGCTCGCATCAACTAAAACGGTAGATCCATCAAACTCGACAACCAGTGGCATAAGGGACCTATGATGTTAAACGAAAGCGAGGTTGAAACATCTGTGTTTGTTGTACTCGGTTGAAACTCCAATCTGCGGTCCAACGGTGTGTCATAATATTGCAGAGGTTGACAAGTCGGAGCCCATCGTTACACCGGGTATCGTTCACTCTTTGAATGACAGGGCGTGGTTTGAGTGACCTCGGTTCTTGGCTCCCCATCTCGCGCTAGAGGGATTGACGAGGCCCACCTCACTTCCTTTGATATTCAGAAACGTGACACTGAGTGAAGGATTTCACATTGTAACGAGCCTTACTGTTCGGGCAACCCTGTAAAAGGAGAGCGGACGTTGCCTACGCCACCTGAAAAACTACTACCATCACCGCCTCCTCCGCAAGTCTCAAGGAGCTCAGGAACGACTCACCCGATCATGCAGCGACACAAGCCAGGATATCGCTCAAGCACTTCAATGCAACGGCCCATTCTCTCTCGTGTGGCATGCAGATCACCCTTCGCCGCCGTCCCCACGATACAGGGTCTATTTGATGGAGGGGGGTCAGTAGGGGCGATAAAGCAGTGTGTCAGAAAATCCTGCTGGGCTGGAGAACAATTCTTTTCCAACAAAATATACCAGGTGCCAGCGCCACCATTTTGCAGGTACGGTCAAACCGCCAAGCGTAGGGATTGCTGAATGTGAGGGTACAAGATGGGGCGGCGTCCCAGGCCGGTGTTGGGTTCTTGAATACACCACTCTGCAGCAGGCAACGCGTTCAAGAAGCAGTTAAGGTATACGGCCACGACAAAGGAATGGCTGGGGGTGGGATTCACGTGTGCTCTCATCATGTTAGAGGGGTGCCAACATCCACGTCTTCAACACTTCCACCCCAGCTCACCCGTCGATGAAAAGAACGCCGATCCCCCGACGAATGCTTGATCTTCTCACCGAGGAGACCGACCGCACCCCAGTGCGAGTCGATTGCGTTGGAGATATATAACAACCGTTGTACGGAAACGGTAGAGCCGGTCGAAGTGGGAAGTAAAAATGAGAGTTCGATCAGAGCCTCGTGATGGTGTTTGTTGGCGTTGCAGCTACCCGTTGTCGGAGTTGGCGAGAAATAGCTCGGGCCTCGATAAATCCTTGATATGTCAGATCAGCTTCACCTTGGAAAAATATCTCCAAACGTACCACGGTGCTAACCAACCACGGGTACGCTCTCCTGCTTTGCAACGTGAATGTTCACTCACCGATCCACGGCTTCTTGAAGCGGTCCAAAATCGATACCATCGCCATCGTCCAACAACGACTTCAAAGCCTTAGAGAAATCAGCAGCCATCAAGTCTTCCGGGAGAGGTAGTACCCCGCCTGGCCTGCCATGAGGCTCAGAGTCGCACAGGCCGTTGCCGCCACTCGCGCTCTGCTCGATCATGGTCGTGTAGATCGTCTCCTCAAACGCTACGAAAGATCGAGAGACGTATCGATACAGCTCGGCTTCGGTAGCAGCCTCGTTTAACTGGGAGCGTCGTGACCACAAAAGCGGAAGGGTAGGGTAGGTGCAAAACAATGATGTTGAGTGGTGTCGAGTCAGTTAGCAGCCATTCTCCTCGCTCGGCTCTGCGTACTCAAGGCCTGTTTCCACGAAGCAAAACGACGCTGCCGGTGGGCGGAGAATCTTTGTCCCCTGGAATATACGCGAGAGCCCAGCTGATCATACTCGGGCATGAGAATGGGCATCGCCAAGCGACCCCTCGATGCAACCAGCGCGCATACCTGAGGGGGAGGAAGGTTTTCTCCTTGGACAGGGAAAGACTCCACCTGCCACTTCCCACAGGACACGTTGGCGATGTCTTTGAACTTGACGATCTCGGTGAAACCCTGGTCAGCGCATGGCCGCACGGAAGAAGCAGATAAGCAATAAACACAGCTGCCCCAACGGCAGCGCGAGGAGGCAAGAGGACCCCCGCTTGTTCATATCAGTGACTTGATAGTTGCCAGTGTAGGATGGTCTCCAAGGAACCGGGAAAGTTATTCGGTTCGGATCACACTAAATATCACACATGTGACTGTGGCAGGAAACCTCCATCGCACGCACAACTCAAGGCGAACATCCTAGAGGGAGCCACCATCAGCTCTCAACCTGTAACCTCCAGCGCTAAACGAAACTCTCAGCACCAACCTCACCACTGGAAGGGTATCGATGGACCCTTGCTCGATAGAACTTCTCAAGAATGAGTCCGAAAGAGCCAGGTATTTCTCGAACCGCTCCTGAACACATGTACCACCTGGTTATCGAACGAACGCACGTCGGAGGACACAACGATTACACCTCAGCTGGAGCGGATCATTTTTGCAATGTGACAAGCGCGCCATTGGGGAGACCCACCGGGGAGACCCACCTGCAAGCTCCTTAGGGGCCTGCCGCGTTGTCACAAAGAACCAAAACAAAGTTCCAAGAGTCAGGGGCGGTGGACACACAAGTGTAGGGCACAGTCACGGAACGAAGCTCACCTTGTGTCCCATAAAGCCGTGCAGGTTAGCCAGAATTACCCATGCCCTGGCCAGAAGCAAGAAAATGGGAGAACAAAGATCAAATCAAGTTATCACCGCAAAACTACAAAAACACTGTCGAGCGGAAAGAGCCTGGCCGATAGGTCTCAAGTACAAGCACCAAGTGGGTCAACATTACAGCATCCACAGAGGAACGCCTGGGTATGTTGAGGGTAGGTTGTTCCAGGTTGACTCACTTTGCGACCTCGGCGTCTCCGGGACCGGAGTTGCTCTTGGCAAGCGCTTCTTGTGCCAGTTGGGCGTAGCTTGTCACCTGCGGCAGCGAGACACCAAACGAGCAGAGGAAGGTCTGTCACACGGACGAACAAGCCACGACGGCACCCTACGACAAATAGTGACCTCAACGACATGCGAGACACGGTATGATGTTTTGGCAAACAACAACTCATTCTCACACTTATGACTTGAAAGATGACACGCCGGTACATACCGATTCGATCGGGCTACCCTTCACGAGCGCCCCGAGAGCAACCGCACACCAGGACGTGCACGCTGACGGGTCCATTGGAAACTGGTTTCGTGCTGAGGTCTTGCTCAGATCGCCCCCCGGGGCGACTGCTTCGAAGTAGTGCCCTCCCTCGTCACAGTCGTCCCCAAAGACTGACTGCTGAGAGGAGGCGCGGGGTAACATGATCGTCACCATCGTCTCCCGAATGTGACTGGCCAAAACAGCACAGACGGCGCGAAAGTGCCACGGGTCCGATGGTCGCGTAGGGTACAGTGCTGAAGGACGGAAGTGCGAAAAGAAACACAAGAAAACCACAACTCTAGACAAGAATGCCAACGCCGCCTGCATTGCGGCAGCTTCAATGACATATGAAAAGGCCAAAGCCATGGACTAAATGTCGCGTGGACGCAGACAGCACTCAAGTGCGTACGCGGTTCCAGGCAAGCTGGATGTGATACCTCGGGGTGGTGAGTGGAAGAAAACCAACGCAGCCGAAGAAGTCGCTGAGGAAGGCGTTCTCCTGCATCCCCACAAGGCCAGTTGCCGGAGAAGCACTCAACCTACACCTGACACACCATATGGAGCAAGGCATGGGCAAAGGGGGGGTAGTGGAAAACTGTGCAACCAATACGCCACGGGCAATCTCAGTTGGCACGAGAGGCCATAAGCCAGCTGTTTTGATGTTGGTCGACATCCCTGCCGCTGCGTTGTTACTACACTAGCCGACCATCTTTGGCCATGGGTGATGCCAGCCGTGGTGGGAACTTCCGTTGTTCGTATCTAGTGGAATTTTGGCGTGTCCCCAGCATGCTTATTCGATCTAGGCTCTTCCACCGTCCCCCGCCCACACGGGAGTGGTCGGGCGATCTTACGCTTGGCTCGGCGGCGGTTGGGTCTGGGAAACTCTGCATACGTTTTCGCTGATGGATCCAAGAGTGACGAGAGGTTTTCGTTTTCGTCTCCCAACACATGTCTCTGCCGTGAGTCGTGCCAGCCATTCTTGAAATTTTCAATCGATCCAAGAAGATCCGAGAAACAACCTGTTTCTTTGCCCCAAACTTGTGTGTGTCTGCTGGGGAAATACAACACCACTGCACGCAGAGAACGAGAAAGCGGAGAATGGGAGGTAGGGAAGGAGAAACAGGGAGATAACCTACATTACTCTCTGCCTACGCACAGTTCAATCGAGGGCATGCTCAATATTCCCTTGACTACTACCCCATGTAAAGCAACCGAAAGAAGCTACCTTACTTCACCTCTTGAACGGCAACATGCCGGACGTCATGAGTGCGCCAGTGGTGGAGTGAAGCAGAACCTCCTTCGCATTCAAGCCATCCCGACCAGGGCCCTGAGGCCGATGCCGCTGAATGTGTCGTCGATAGTCATACCGATGCCGCCTTTCGCTGTACGTGCACTGATCGCCTGATCGAACACAGCGCCTAGATGATGTTGGTACAAGAGGGAAATAGTCAGCGAAGCAGCCGAAGCATGCACCGCAACTTCGAGCTAAACGTGTTGGTGTGAGTTTACGTACCGCTACTCGACAAGTTGTGGAGGGGAAGGCGACATATTTCCCCCCCCATCGTGAGTGTTTCCCCGAGCTGCGGACACAGGAGGCAGTGCAACGTGGTTGGTGTTAAAGAGAATTTACTTAGACTAATTGTTGAATGCTGCAAGTACGCAACTCAAATACTAAATCCGCGTTGAAACCATCGAGAACACGCCACCGAGCCGCGACAGTTTCTTACCTGCAACCCAGGAGGTAAAAAGCAGGGTTGATCGACCTTTTGGTAAGGGATAATATCCGCCGACCCTAATAACCCTATATTTCGACCCCGACAAGACCGGTTGATGATCGGCTGGCTTCTGAGGAGGCAGAAAAATAGGGCACGCTTCGTTATACCTGTGTGGTTGTACTCCGCCAAGATGTGTGGCCATGCTCTACAGGCCTTTGCTCTGAAAATTCGTGGGAGATACCTCATCCTAACCCCGGGAGTTGTCGAGGTAAAGGGGAGCGCAATGCGCAGACTCCACGTGCGAATTTTGAAGCCAGCTAGCCAGAAGAAACCGAGATGATACACTCAGCGGAGTCCCGCACACCCATAGAAGCACACACCCTCGCCGTCGCTTACTCCCTGCCGCACGTGAAAGTGTACCAGTAACAACCAGCAGACTTGGTGCCTGCCCTCTGGATTCACAGCAAGAAATCTTTGTTGACGATGCGCTTTTCTTGCCGTTGGAAACTCTCACGACCGATTGGGTGTAAAAATACAAATATAGATACGAAGCCTGTATATGGAAGTCACTGCCAAAGCAGCAACAAGATTGAGCGAAGTGGAGGCGTTCGTGCGCTGTTGGTTCATTCGCTACACGATACTCAGATACGATGTGTAGGTATGAATCTGACAGCAGTAACAGGGTGCCCGGCGGGGGGCGAGAGAAACAATCGTATAACGCCGCCTCAAGCATCGAAACATGAGAAACGAGAGTGAGATGGTGAGATGGTGCATCCACGTGAGAGCACGGTTAGAACGGTCATGTTTGAATGTTTGAATTGTGTTCCGACCACCACACCGCACTGCCCGATGGACTCTATCGCCCGATGGACTCTATCTACAGCAGTAGTGCACCCGTCTCTACCGCCATTGCTCATCAAAGCCAGCGGCAGTGCTGTGAGGTGCAGATTGCATGGTATGCAGTAGCAGTGTCAGTGTGTGACGCGTGTTGTTTGGTGTGTTCCTTCGTGTATAACGTTCCCCCACAGGTGCGGCGGATGCATCAGTCTTGAAGATCCCCTCAAATATGCGCGCGGATACAAGTCTTTTCATGTACGTCTGCATATGAACTGCGGAAGTGCGTGTGTGGGATTGCTGCCTGGACGCAGCGTGTCTCGCACAGCATCGCTGAAGACTACGACTGCAACTCCGCGGCGAACTACAGTACCCCGCCGTACGAGTCAAATAACTTCCCTCTCCAACCGCGGGAGGGTGGGCACGAACCGGTGCTTCGAACGAACAACAATTCGTTGCGTCTCTTGACGCAAGACGTGTACCGCTGTGTATAGTCCACTGTACACGTGTAGCCTACGCAGAATTGGTGCGTTCAGCACTTACCCACAAGGCCGTTGACCATCACAACTCTTCTTTTTTCGTCCGCATTCTGAGCAGCTCCTACGCATCCTGCGCAGGATTGGACGCGAGCAATTCCCTTCTTCGGGACCAACGTCGTTATCCCCATGGTTCAATGATGGTGATGTTGTAGTTGAGGCATCCATGGGTATTGATTTTTCCGGTAGCTGCGATCGTTGTTTCTCGAGGGGGACGAAACACTTTGGAGCTGTATATTTCTTATCACGGTACCCAGCCAGTTAACTCTCTCGGCTAAGCTGAGGCGCAAGCACAGGCAAGAACGAATATGTAAGGAACGCGGGGAGACCAGCCAGCGGCGAATTGGCGGGTTTTACTCCTATTGGCTAAAACCAACAGTTCGGACTGGCAAATTTTCTTGACTCTCTGCTTACGCCGAGAGAGTCACCTGGCTTCGGACCGTGATCAGAAACATAGAGCTCCAAAGAGCTTCGCCCCCCTCGAGAAACAGCGATCGCAGCTACCGGGGAACCATGGATGCCTCAACTACAACATCACCATCATTGAGCCATGGGGACAACCACGTTGGTCAGGAAGAAGAGAATCGCTCGCGTCCAATCCTGCGCATCGTGTGTAAGAGCTGCTCAGAATGCGGACGAAAAAAGAAGAGCTGTGATGGCAAACGACCTTGTGGGTGAGTGCCGAATGCACTACTGCGGTGTAGGATACACGTGTATAGCAGTGGACTATACACAGCGGTACACGTCTTGGGTCATTTAGAGGACGTGGCGACTGTTCGTTCAAAGCACCGGTTGGCGTGAACCCCCCTCCCGCGGTTGGAGAGGGAAGTTATTTGACTCGTACGGCGGGGTACTGTAGTTCGCCGCGGAGTTGCAGTCGTAGTCTTCAGCGATGCTGTCCGAAACACAATGCGTCCAGGCAGCAATCCCACACACGTACTTCCGCAGTTCATATGCGGACGTACATGAAAAGACTTGTATCCGCGCGCATATTTGAGAGGATCTTCAAGACTGGTGCATCCGCCCCGCCTGTGGGGGGATGCTACACGAAGGAACACGCCAAACAACACGCGTCACACACTGACACTGCTACTGCATGCCATGCAGTCTGTACCTCACAGCACTGCCGCTGGCTTTGATTAGCAATGGCGGCAGAGACGGATGCACTGCTGCTGTAGATCGAGCCGATCGGGCAGTGCGGTGTGGTGGTCGGAACACAATTCAAACATTCAAACACAGCCAGCCCTGATAGTTCTACCCGTGGTCTGTGGATGCACAATCTCACCATCTCACTCTCGTTTCTCATGTTTCGATTACTTGAGGCGGCATTATCCGATTGCTTCTCTCGCCCCCCGCCGGGCACCCTATTACTGCTGTCCGATACAAGACACCATACCTATCGTACCTGAGTCTCATGTGGCGAATGCACCAACAGCATACTAGCGTTGACTTCGCTCTCTCTTGCTGCTGTGGCAGTGACTCTCCCATTAATTTTATCTATCTATTCTACATACACCCGTCAGTTCGTGAGCTTTTCCAACGGCAAGAAGAGCGCATCGTCAAGAGCGATCTCTTGCCTTGAATCCAGAGAGAACAGGTACCAAGTCTGCTGTTACTGATACACTTTCACATGCGGCAGGGATGTGTGGTGTGTGTTTCTATGCGTGTGCGGGACTCCGCTGAGTGCGTCACCTCGGTTTCTTCTGACTTCTGGCTATGTAGCTGGCTTCCGAATTCGCGCGTTGAGTCTCCGGGTTGTGCTCCCCTTTACCTCGACAACTCCTGGGAGGAGGATGAGGTATCTCGCACGAATTTTCGGAACAAAATGCCTGTATGGCACGGCCACATCTGGGCGGAACACCACCAAACCGGTGTGACGAAACGCTCTCTATTTTTCTGCCTCCCTAGAAGCCAGCAGATCATCAGTCGGTGCTCCATAGGTCTTGTCGGGGTCGAAACATAGGGTTATTGGGGTCCCCGGACCCACGGCGGATATTAAACCCTTACCAACAGGGCGATAAACCCCGCTTATTTCCTCCTGGGTTGCAGGTAAGAAACTGTGGCGGCTCATTAGCGAATTCTCGTTGGTCTCAACACGGATGAAGTATTTGAGATGCGTACTTGCAGGATTGGACCACAAGTATGTTCTCTGTAAAACCAACCACCTTGCACTGCCTCCTGTGTCCGCGGCTCAGGGAACCACAAACAATTGGGGGGGCCAATATGTCGCCTTCCCCTCCACAACTTGTCCAGTGGCGTTACGTAAACTCACACCAACACGTTTAGCTCGAAGTTGCGGTGCATGTTTGGCTGCTTCACTGACTATTTCCCTCTTGTACCAACATCATCTAGGCGCTGTGTTCGATCAGGCGATCAGTGCACGTACAGCGAAAGGCGGCATCGGTATGACTATCGACGACACATTCAGCGGCATCGGCCTCAGGGCCCTAGTCGGGATGGCGTGAACGCGAAGGAGGTTCTGCTTCACTCCACCACCGGCGCACTCATGACGTCCGGCATGTTGCCGTTCAAGAGGTGAAGTAAGGTAGCTTCTTTCGGTTGCTTTACATGGGGTAGTAGTCAAGGGAATATTGAGCATGCCCTCGATTGAACTGTGCGTAGGCAGAGAGCAAGTAGGTTATCTCGCTATTTCTCCTTCCCTGCCTCCCATTCTCCGCTTTCTCGTTCTCTGCGTGCAGTAGTGTGGGGGGCGTGTTGTTCTACCACAGCAGACACAAAACAATTTGGGACAAAGAAACAGGAAGGTTTGTTCGTCGAAGCAGATAGAATAAACTGGTGTTTATTTTGTAACAGTCGAATTAGAATTTGGCTTCATTTTCTACCGGAAACCCAGGGTCACGGTGTTTGGAATTATTAGTCTATAGTTGGGGGTGTCATTCCGTGATCGAGTCCACGCAGGGGCTGTAGCAAAGTCGGGTAACGTGTGACAGCTACAGAGCGCGTGAAGCAACGGAAGGACAGCAGCAGGCGCCTAACGCAGTAGCGGCGGCAGTTTAGAAAAGGGCGGGACGGGACACGGCGCAAGCATTGGGGAAGTGACCAGCACGCGACTCTCCATATAAAGGTGTGTACTCGTGTCCAACATCCATCGTGTCGGCCGTGTTCCTATTCGCGTCCCGCTACTCTTGTGACCTCACCGCTGCGTGCATTTAGCACGAGGGGGGAGGGTGCAGTAAGATAAGCGGCGGCAAGCCAACGCAGTCTCGCTCGCCGCGCCGCTCAGATAGGTCCCTTCCCAAACATGGGATGCGGTTCATCCCAACCGAGACGTACTCTCGCTGAAGAAAAAAAATGCGGTTCGTCCCAACCAGACGTACTCTCTCTGAAGAAAAAATTCAACGGCAAAAAGAAAGAGCGGGGCCTGTTGTATGGTCGCACGCTGACTTGTCGCGGTTGATAGCAGCCATTGTACTGCACGGGGTGGAGGAACCCTGCGGCATCGGACATAACCAATCGACCCGCGGCAGTAGGGCATGATGCTGTCACGATTATGCACATGAGGCAGGTGCCTTGTTTTCTGTTTCCCCCGGCTTACTAGGGACTACTTGCCGGTACAATCTTGTCTGTGCCGCGCACAGAGGGGCATATAGCTGAAGGAATCGACGATAATATGCCCACTCACGTAAGCAATCGTCTCCACGGATGGTATTGACAAGTCCCCACTGATGGTATCGACAAGTCCCATGGCATACAAAGCGGCCGCATACGTAATCGGAAAGTGCATTCAACAGCATTCACGGGAACGGATAAAAGCAAAAACACATGCATGCGAGAGAAAGACTCAAAGAAAAAGACTGAAAAACAATGAAGACGAGAAAAAAAAAACGAGACAGCGAACTACGTGCTGTATGCATAAGGAAAAAGAAGATGAGAAAAAAATAGGGGGGGGAGGTGGATGTGACACGCGAGGTTCGAAGTCGCGAAGAACGTCAGGTAGCGGTCCATGTGAGTGCATCACGGTCTCGAGGGGCATCACGTCAAATTTATTGCCGCCGTGACACAAACGTTCTATAAGAATACGTCACGTCCATCGACGATTAAGCGACCAAAAACGCCCGGACAGCAATTGATGCATGCCAAAAACTCGTCAACCTGCCGTAGGATTGTCTATGCGGAAGTGATCTCAATGAAAATAAAAAAAACAAGGACACGCACCAGCACGGGACGCGCCAATAGTGGAAGCACTCGTCCGTGCTGTTGGCGAGTGGAAGTTAACCGATCTCAACGCAACGAAACACGAAGTCATACATGTATCAGCACGGGATGCGCCAATGAGTGGAAGCACCCGCGCTGTTGGCGAGTAGAGTTAACCGAATTCAACGCAGCGGTAGAGAAATACCACAAATCATGCATCAGTACGGGACGCGCCAATGAGTGGAAGCACCCGTGCTGTATATGTGTTGTCAGCCTCAGCACGGGACGCGCCAACGAGTGGAAGCACTCGTGCTGTTGGCGAGTAGAGTTAACCGATCTCAAAAAGAAAGAACAAAACGCCGTACACGTATTAGCACGGGACGCGCCAATGAGTGGACGCACCCGTGCTGTTGGCGAGTAGAGTTAACCGAATTCAACGCATCGAAAACGAAGTCGTACACGTATCAGTACGGGACGCGCCAATGAGTGGAAGCACCCGTGCTGCATATGTGTTGTCAGTTTCAGCAAGGGACGCGCCAATGAGTGCTGTTGGCGAGTAGAGTTAACCGATCTCAAAAAGAAAGAACAAAAACGCCGTACACGTATCAGTACGGGACGCGCCAATGAGTGGGCGCACCCGTGCTGTTGGGCGAGTAGAATTAACCGATCTCCACGCATCGAAAACGAAGTCATACACGTATCAGTACGGGACGCGCCAATGAGTGGAAGCACCCGTGTTCATATGTGTTGTCAGTTTCAGCAAGGGACGCGCCAATGAGTGGAAGCACCCGCGCTGCGTACAAGTATCATCAGTGCGGGTCGCGCCAATGAGTGGAAGCACCCGTGCTGCATATGTGTTGTCAGTTTCAGCGAGGGACGCGCCAATGAGTGGAAGCACCCGCGCTGTTGGCAAGTGGAGTTCACCGTATCCAACGCATCGAAAAAAAAAAAAAAACACGTATCAGCACGGGACGCGCCAATGAGTGGAAGCACCCGTGCCGATGGCGAACCGGGGTTCACCGAATCCAAGAAAATATATATATAAAAAAAAAAAAAGAGAAACCATCGCTAGTGTTCCAAAGAGAGAAATATTCGGGATTGGTCGACGTCCGGTGACCGTAGCGTCAGCAGCAATAATCACTCCATTCAATCCACAGGCGTCGAGAATGAACTAACGCGAGCTCGCGATATAACAACGCGTCGTTCTGGGCCCGACGAAAACCCACGTCAGATAGTTTCGCCCGAAGATAGGATTTGTAGACCATTCTAACTGCAGATCCAGGCGCGCGATCGACTACGCCCACGATGAAGAGGAAAAGAAGTGTTCCCGCAACGCCGCCCTGACGCTCGCCTGCCGCCTGCCGCCGGTCCGCTGCTTATACGACTCCAACCGCGACCAGATGCCGACACGGGCCTCCACGCGGAGCGGCAGGGCAGCGGCTGGGCAAGCAGGGCGAGGTCGGGCGGCGACACCTTCGACACCACGCACGAGAGGTCTACCGCGCGATCGGTGGCGAGCTCGACGGCTCGCCCCTCGACGCGCAGCGGATCACGTACTCCCGCGAGGCGTCGAGCGGTATCCTCCTCGCGAGCGCCAGGGACAGGCACCCGCGGCGACCCCCCCGCTGATGAGACTGAGCTCGCTTCTCTCCGCGGGCTGGTGGACGGCCTGAGGGAGGAGCTGCAGCGGAAGCGCGATGAGGCTGCCGGTGATCGCCAGCAGCTTCAAGCAACGATCGACGACCTGATCGCCACCCAAGCAGCAGGACCTGGCCTTCCGGGGGGGGGTGCAACTTGTGGGCACAACCGCCCCACCATCGGCCTCTCGGGCCCCCGCTACACCCAGCGCCGAGGCGGCTAAGGCTACGGCAAAGGATAGAGCGCGGATGTGGGGGGACCTCCGCCGGGTAAAAGCGTGGCTCATCCTGGGGCGGCCCCCGGCAGTTTCAAAACTGTCGCAAGATGGAGTGGCAATCCTTGCTTCGCAAAGGCGTCCTGGTGACAGAGAAAGTGGCGGCATCGCTCGACACGCTCGTGGTTACTGCTTCGCCTTCAACTCGTCGTCCGGTTGCCATGATCGTAACTGCCCACACATCCACGCCCAGAACCCTTCCCACGCTAGGCGCGGAGCGTCCGAAACTCCGGCAACCGGCGCGCGCGGCGTTGGCCACGGCAACGGGGGAGGGCGCGGAGGAGAGGCGCGCGCCGCTGGCGAGGGCGGCGCGAGACCCAAGGCCGCTGGCTTCTTCACCCACGGGAAAGACAAATAGGGGTGCGGGCTCTCCCGCGTAGCGGGGGGGCCTACCTCGGATGGCAGCGCACCTGCGGCTAAATCGAACGGCAGCACGCCGGTCTACACGAGGTTGGCTCCAGGGCTATCAGCAGGTTCAGGACCTGGGACAGGCAGGACGGGACTTTGTTACCGACGTCTTGGCATGCAGCTCGTCGAGCACTCAGTTGCGTCTTCGTCTAGAAGGACTTACACGTCAGGCTTCAACTCTTGGTGCACGTTTCGCAGGCTGACGGAGAAGCCCAAGTTCCTAGGGCAACGTGCCGGGGACCTTCATGTGTGGGAGTTGATAGACTTCGTAGCCTGGTGTTTCCAGTCTGAGGGTAATCTAGCGAGTACAATATCCGGAAAACTCACGGCTGTACAACATTTTCATAGGCTGGAAGCTTCTGTCGAGCTAGACTTGTCGTCTCCGATGTTGAAATGTGCGCTAAGGGGGATTGCGAGGAACCACGTGGCTGTGGGGACGGTACGCCGTGTGCGCCTGCCTGTGTCTTGGCGTATGCTGCTGGACGGGGAAAGCGCAAGCCAGAACTGGGGGGAAGGGGGCAGAGTGATGTGGCTGTGTCTGTGCTTGTCCTATCTCTTTATCACACGGTCTGATGAGGTGTTCGCGAATGATGCGGGCAGGGTGCATGAGGCACACTGTCTTACGAGGGCGGACGTAGCATTGTTTGCTGGCGAGACGCAATTAGTCTTTAGTCACTATCGTAGAGCAGACCGTGTCGAAATGAGGTTTAGAGGGCACAAGGCCGATCAAGAGCAGAAAGGAAACATACGGGTTCGTACGCGAGACGAAGTCACCGGACCGCAGTCAGGTGTGAGAGCACGCGGTGGCGGGGTGGCTCTTGTGGTGGAGCTGTTATCGTGTCATGCGACGTTCCCTGACTCCGCACCGTTGGCTTCGTACCGTAGTGGAAGAGCAGTGAGAGTAGTGAGGTATACTGCTGCCCTCCGTGCACTCAGAGAAGTGGTAGCGAGGTCGGGGCGTAACCCCCAGGAGTACGCGTTGCACTCGTTGCGAATTGGAGGCGCGACGGCTCTTGCATCGGGCGGAGACATCGCAGAACGAGTGATTCAGAGAGAAGGGAAGTGGAGGTCGGATGCATACAAGCCGTACGCGCGAAACAATGTAGAGGATTCGCGGCGAGTGTCACGGAAACTTACAGACGGCAGTAGGATCGTATCGAGACAGCCGGGGGAGGGGACCGTCTGGGGGAACGGATAGTTGACTTATTCGGTAGTCGTCCAGAAACTGACCTCGATGTGGGTGTTGTAGAATGGTGTGTACCATTTGAGGACTTGGTCAGTTTTGGGACTCCTGCGTTTGCAGTCGTAGTCCCCCGGCTAGTATTTGTGGGGAGAGAGATGGATTTGTAAGAGTTGACGCCGGCCTTTGCAGCTAACGCGGCCGGAGAGACGATGAGCGTGTCGTGCGTCTCTCTCCCCAACACGTAGCCTAGAAACCGAAGAAATAATGAAGCAATTCGAAAGAAAACAAAATAAAAGGAAGGTTTGTTCGTCGAAGCAGATAGAATAAACTGGTGTTTATTTTGTAACAGTCGAATTAGAATTTGGCTTCATTTTCTACCGGAAACCCAGGGTCACGGTGTTTGGAATTATTAGTCTATAGTTGGGGGTGTCATTCCGTGATCGAGTCCACGCAGGGGCTGTAGCAAAGTCGGGTAACGTGTGACAGCTACAGAGCGCGTGAAGCAACGGAAGGACAGCAGCAGCCGCCTAACGCAGTAGCGGCGGCAGTTTAGAAAATCCCGCCCTCCCATCCCTTTTCTTTCGAAGGTGGGGGCATAAGTTCGGGAATATTCGGTATCTAGTCAGGTGTTGTAGAATGGTGTGTACCATTTGAGGACTTGGTCAGTTTTGGGACTCCTGCGTTTGCAGTCGTAGTCCCCCGGCTAGTATTTGTGGGGAGAGAGATGGATTTGTAAGAGTTGACGCCGGCCTTTGCAGCTAACGCGGCCGGAGAGACGATGAGCGTTTCGTGCGTCTCTCTCCCCAACACGTAGCCTAGAAACCGAAGAAATAATGAAGCAATTCGAAAGAAAACAAAATAAAAGGCTGTTTCTCGGATCTTCTTGGATCGATTGAAAATTTCAAGAATGGCTGCCATGACTCACGGCAGAGATATGTGTTGGGAGACGAAAACGAAAACCTCTCGTCACTCTTGGATCCATCAGCGAAAACGAATGCAGAGTTTCCCAGACCCAACCGCCGCCGAGCCAAGCGTAAGATCGCCCGACCACTCCCGCGTGTGCGGGGGACGGTGGAAGAGCCTAGATCGAAGAAGTATGCCGGGGACACGCCAAAATCCCTACTAGATACGAACAACGGAAGTTCCCACCACGGCTGGCAGCACCCATGGCCAACGATGGCCGGCTGTTATAGTCACAACGCAGCGGCAGGGATGTCGACCAACATCAAAACAGCTGGCTTATGGCCTCTCGTGCCAACTGAGATTGCCCGTGGCGTATTGGTTGCACAGTTTTCCACTACCCCCCCTTTGCCCATGCCTTGCTCTATTTTATGGTGTGTCAGGTGTAGGTTGAGTGCCTCTCCGGCAACTGGCCTTGTGGGGATGCAGGAGAACGCGTTCCTCAGCGACTTCTTCGGCTGCGTTGGTTTTCTTCCACTCACCACCCCGAGGTATCACATCCAGCTTGCCTGGAACCGCATACGCATTGGGTCATGCATACTGCCGGCGTTCACGCGACATTTAGTCCATGGCTTTGGCCTTTTCATATGTCATTGAAGCTGCCGCAATGCAGGCGGCGTTGGCATTCTTGTCTAGAGTTGTGGTTTTCTTGTGTTTCTTTTCGCACTTCCGTCCTTCAGCACTGTACCCTACGCGACCATCGGACCCGTGGCACTTTCGCGCCATCTGTGCTGTTTTGGCCAGTCACATTCGGGAGACGATGGTGACGATCATGTTACCCCGCGCCTCCTCTCAGCAGTCAGTCTTTGGGGACGACTGTGACGAGGGAGGGCACTACTTCGAAGCAGTCGCCCCGGGGGGCGATCTGAGCAAGACCTCAGCACGAAACCAGTTTCCAATGGACCCGTCAGCGTGCACGTTCTGGTGTGCGGTTGCTCTCGGGGCGCTCGCGAAGGGTAGCCCGATCGAATCGGTATGTACCGGCGTGTCATCTTTCAAGTCATAAGTGTGAGAATGAGTTGTTGTTTGCCAAAACATCATACCGTGTCTCGCATGTCGTTGAGGTCACTATTTGTCGTAGGGTGCCGTCGTGGCTTGTTCGTCCGTGTGACAGACCTTCCTCTGCTCGTTTGGTGTCTCGCTGCCGCAGGTGACAAGCTACGCCCAACTGGCACAAGAAGCGCTTGCCAAGAGCAACTCCGGTCCCGGAGACGCCGAGGTCGCAAAGTGAGTCAACCTGGAACAACCTACCCTCAACATACCCAGGCGTTCCTCTGCGGATGCTGTAATGTTGACCCACTTGGTGCTTGTACTTGAGACCTATCGGCCAGGCTCTTCCGCTCGACAGTGCTTTTGTAGTTTTGCGGTGATAACTTGATTTGATCTTTGTTCTCCCATTTTTCTTGCTTCTGGCCAGGGCATGGGTAATTCTGGCTAACCTGCACGGCTTTATGGGACACAAGGTGAGCTTCGTTCCGTGACTGTGTCCTACACTTGTGTGTCCACCGCCCCTGACTCTTGGAACTTTGTTTTGGTTCTTTGTGACAACGCGGCAGGCCCCTAAGGAGCTTGCAGGCGGGTCTCCCCGGTGGGTCTCCCCAATGGCGCGCTTGTCACATTGCAAAAATGATCCGCTCCAGCTGAGGTGTAATCGTTGTGTCCTCCGACGTGCGTTCGTTCGATAACCACATGGTACATGTGTTCAGGAGCGGTTCGAGAAATACCTGGCTCTTTCGGACTCATTCTTGAGAAGTTCTATCGAGCAAGGGTCCATCGACACCCTTCCAGTGGTGAGGTTGGTGCTGAGAGTTTCGTTTAGCGCTGGAGGTTACAGGTTGAGCGCTGATGGTGGCTCCCTCTAGGATGTTCGCCTTGAGTTGTGCGTGCGATGGAGGTTTCCTGCCACAGTCACATGTGTGATATTTAGTGTGATCCGAACCGAATAACTTTCCCGGTTCCTTGGAGACCATCCTACACTGGCAACTATCAAGTCACTGATATGAACAAGCGGGAGTCCTCTTGCCTCCTCGCGCTGCCGTTGGGGCAGCTGCGTTCATTGCTTCTCTTCTTCTTCCGTGCGGCCATGCGCTGACCAGGGTTTCGCCGAGATCGTCAAGTTCAAAGACATCGCCAACGTGTCCTGTGGGAAGTGGCAGGTGGAGTCTTTCCCTGTCCAAGGAGAAAACTTTCCTCCCCCTCAGGTATGCGCGCTGGTTGCATCGAGGGGTCGCTTGGCGATGCCCATTCTCATGCCAGAGTATGATCAGCTGGGCTCTCGCGTATATTCCAGGGGACAAAGATTCTCCGCCCACCGGCAGCGTCGTTTAGCTTCGTGGAAACAGGCCTTGAGTACGTACAGACGAGCGAGGAGAATGGCTGCCAACTGATTCGACACCACTCAACATCATTGTTTTGCACCTACCCTACCCCTCCGCTTTTGTGGTCACGACGCTCCCAGTTAAACGAGGCTGCCACCGAAGCCGAGCTGTATCGATACGTCTCTCGATCTTGCGTAGCTTTTGAGAGTACGATCTACACGACCATGACCAAGCAGAGCACGAGTGGCGGCAACAGCCTGTACGACTCTGAACGTCATGGCAGGCCAGACGGGGTGCACTCTTCCCCGGAAGACTTGATGGCTGTTGATATATCTAAGGCTATGCGGGCGTTGTTGGACGATGGCGGTTTTGTTGATTTTGGACCGCTTCAAGAAGCCATGGATCGGTGAGTCGATATTCCCGTTGCAAAGGCAGGCGAGGGCAACCGTGGTCGTTTGGCACCGTGGTACATAAGGAGATATGTTTCCAAGGTGAAGCTGATCTGATATATCAAGGATTTATCGAGGCCGGAGCTAAATTTCGCCAACTCCAACAACGGGTAGCTGCAACGTCAACAAGCGCCACCAAGAGGCTCGGATCAAACGTTCATGTCTACTTTCCACTTCGACCGGCCGTCACGTGTCCGTACAACCGTTGCTTTACGTCTCAATCGCATTCGACTCGCATGTCGACCTGGCGTGCGGTCCTTCGGTGAGAAGACCAAGCATTCGTGGGGGTATCGGCGCCCTTAAAATCGACGGGTGAGCTGGGGCAGATGTGTTGAACACGTGGATATTTGCACCCCTCTAACACAATGAGAGCACACGTGAATCCCACCCCCAGCCGTTCCTTTGTCGTGGCCGTATACCTTTACTACTTCCTGCACTCGTTTTCTAGTGCAGAGTCGTGTGTTCAAGAACCCATCACCGGCCTGGGACGTCAACCGGCCGTGTACCCTCTGATTCAACGACCCCTACGCTTGGCAATTTGTTCACACCTGCAAAACGGTGGTGCTGGCGCCTGGAATTTTCATTCGGAAATATTTGTTCGCCACCGCACAGGATTTTCTCACACACTACTTGATCACCCCCGCGTCCCCTCCTCCATCCAATAGACCCCATGCCATGCGGATGGCAGCGAAGGGCGATCTGCATGCCGCACGGGAGAGGATCAGTCGTTGCATTGAAGTGCTCGAGCGATATCCTGGCTTGTGTCGCTCCGTTATCGGGTGAGTCGTTTATTGGCTCCTTGAGACTTGCGGAGGCAGTGATGGCCTTTTGTGGTTTTGCTGCGTGGCGCCAGCAACGCCCGCTGTCCCTTTTGCAGCGTTGTCGGACAAGTATGGCTTGTCACAGGGTGAAATCCTTCGCTCAACGCCACATTTCTGAAAATGAAAGGTGTCAGTGGAGCCCATCATTCGCTCTAGCGCGAGATCGGGATTCCAAGACCGAACTCACTCAAACCACGGCCTGTGATTCACCATCATAGAGTGAACGATACTCGGAGCAACGAGGGGCTCCGACTTGTCGACATCTGCCCCAACAGCTTACTCCATGGGACCGCAGATTGGAGTTTCGACCGAGTACACCGCACACAGATTTTCAACCTCGCGTACGGGTTGGTTTCACAACCCAGGTCACTTTTGCCAATGTTTCTCCAGTTTTTCTTCGATGAATGGACCGTTTCAGTCGATGCGAGGGTTCTTCTTATCACTTGCGGAAGCCAGGATCACCCCTCGACTGTGCATTTTTATATTTTGCTACATACACTTCTCGCCGCCATCCTACTTGCAAAGATTGCGAAAAATCTTCTGGTATTTTGGTGGTTGTATTTCGAGCCGACGAGTCTTTCATGATACATACCACTGTTCTTCTCCATCCTCATCTGCGCATGTGTCCACCAAAAGGTGCCACATGACACACGTGTTTCTGATTTGTCTCGCAGCGGCCGGCGATGCAAGTGACCGAGCGATGTACGACAGGTTACGGGTGATTTCGAACTCTTTTCGTTCCCCTGGGTCCCAGCCCGTGCCCCCTTTCGTGGAGTGGCGCGGAGTGGGCGGCTTCTGCAATGAAATATTCTGCAGGTGCGTATGTTCGCGAGATCAGAGTCCCATTCAGATCAAGTGGTGTGCAGGTAGGCTTGCCAGGGCTGGGTAGAGTAAGTCTTTGGCGGCGTACGATGCTTCCTCGCGCCAACGGTGACGTGAAGCACATGGCGTACCATGACTGTGTCAACCGTTTTCAGCAGCCACCCCCTTGATATGAACACGTTTCCCGGTACTTGCCACTCTCTGGATTTGAACACGTTTTTCGGCACTTCCCACTTGCTTGGCAGAGCCATCGAGGGGCTCGTCCCCAGGGTGCACATGAGACCCTTCTTGGAGCCACCCGTTGACGACATCGATGCCGGCGTTGGAACAACGGCCACTGGCAGTGGCATAAACGAAGATGCTCTTCAAAGCCTTGGACACGCCCAGCATGAGATACTGCCGGCCTTCAACAGCATTCCTGCAAAGACCATCGGCACCCCCCCCGTGTGGTCTACTGACAGCGGGGCTGAGAGTGACATCGGGCCCCTTCCGGCGCCTACAATGCCACCCACTGCTTGGCCAATATCCTCAAATCATGCATTCGGTCAATCTGGAGCAGGGTTTCACTCCGTGGGTGTTGCCAGGGGGGTCACCACGCCCGAGCCATCTCTGTTGGGGTTGCCAGAAAGTAGTGAGCGGGATGGGAAGCTAGAGGATACTGGTGAAGATGGCATTGTCGAAGAAGATTGGCTGGATGCTGCCCATGCGATTTCAGATGCAGCCGAAACCGTGAAACTGCGGAGATGACGCCGGACAGTGTCTCTGGTGAGCCAACGTGGCTGGCGAAAATATATATTGGTGGGGGAATCGTAGGCTCACTTTCTTCCCCGGGCGAACGTTTGGTGTGCACTGGCCCATCGGCGGAATGTGGTGTTTCGATCTTCTCTGAAAAACGTGTTCAAATCGGGAAGTGTCGTCACAGACACCGAAGCGCTATTGTTTTTCTCTTCTCCACGTATTTCGTCCATGTCATGTGGGAATGACTTCAGGGGTGAACAGACGAACAACACGTAATTTTTTATATTGAAATACAGTGTAATGTATTCCACGCGTTGCATCCAAATACTCACTAGTACTGCTGCTGCATTCGTGTACCTGGCGCCCCCCGTTCCAACCGTGTTTGGTATATTCGCCTCAATTGACGTATGTCAGGGCTGTTTGCCAGCAATGGATTGTCGGGTGTTTGTAGAGCTTGGGTGCCTCCCCTCGCATGCATAGGTCTGATTGTTTGAACGTTCGCAGGTAGTTGGCAGCTGACATCAGCTACCTTCAGGGAGGGACATGTGTGCGGGTATGGTGATTTTGATTCCATCCTTGTGCAGGATGTTGAATATTGGTAGTGTGAAGCTCTATGTTCATTGTTGTCCAATGTCAAGACGAATGCACTTTCCTTCGAAGACTGAGACAACCTTGCGCGCGTGTGCGGCAGATGAATCTACCTGTAGATTCCATGGTCTTCTCCTCCTACCATATCGAGCATCAGCAATGGGCATTGCTCATACAAGACACCATCGCACCCCCTGTCGGACGAAGCACAAAAGAGTCCCGGTTTTCATCTCGAACAAGCTGCCGCTGACACAGCGAGTACGGTTGTTTGCCCACATGCCAACGAATATCAAATATCTGCTAGACTATTTGGCATCCTTCCGAGGTGTGAGGCGTGGGTTCGAATTCTCACGCTGTCACACAAACTCGGATTGGTTCTCGCATCGTGCTCGACAGGCAAGGAACGACAGTGACTCGTGTATTCGCAACACGTTCGACTTCTTTGTCGACGAGGGAAACGTTTCTCGGCTTCCTGTAATCAAGACACGCGCCACACCAGGCATTGTGCACCTAAGCTCATTCCTGAGTATGACCCTTGCCTGGTTCTCCAGAGAGACTGCGACACATGTTTTCATGGTCGCAACCAATTGTAGACCAAACTGAATCCAAGTGGTAACGTAAACAGAAGTCTGATGACAGGCGCAAAATCACATATTTCCGACAACATTACTCTTCTAAAAGGGTACAGCAAAGTGATTCTGGCACGGGGGGCGTAGTACGGCCCAAGGTGTTTCGGTTCCTCCAGAATCAAGAGTGAACCTGCAAAACGATTGTATCACAAACGCGCTTGATTCACAAACAGCGCTCGGTCTTGGATTGACCATCACAGCATCTATCCAAGCTGACCTTGCATGAGACGTTGTACTAGTCTTGTCCCTTTTACCGAGCAAGGCGGAAATGGACTTTCGCGTTGTACGCATATGTTCAGAGGAGGCTACCTTGTTGTGAATCGAGGGTGGTGTCAGACATCAATTTCCTTGTCCCCTCTCCGAAGGTTTCACTACAAGGGTCTGAAACCACTATAAACACACGCATAGCCGCAGCTTGTGCAGTGAAATCTCACCGAAGAACCCTCCGACATGAGGATCGTGAGTGATGTGCTGATGAATCGGCTGGAACTCAAATAATGAAGCTTCGGCGAGTTGGGAGTTGAACAATTCCTATAGCGTGCTTCTGTATAACTCTCCGTACTCGCGGATGCCTTCGAAATGAAGCCCATTTGGGCGCTGAGACGGCAGAGGGGCCAGAAGGGCCCTAGGGTTGTTTTCGACGGTCAATTGGTTTCGGTGCATGTACAGGAGCGTTAAGGAGCAAATAACTTGAACGCTTGGAGTCACCAGCACCATCTGTGTCAGACGGCCGCGATCATCCTCAACCGGAGGCATCCGTGCCTGACGCCAAGGAAACATGGCCGTCACCCCAGGGGAAGCACCTCAGACGCGACCTATGCGGGGCAATAACTGCAGACACTCACATTGGCGAGTCTTTCGCATATTCCTCTTCGCCCTTTGTGCGGAACCAGCTACCCGCGCCAGCGGAAACCCTGCCAACTGGCCTCCTGTCCGTATTCTCGGAGCACGTTGATGAGTCCGGAGGGTTGCAACACAGCAACAGCAACAGCAACAGCAACAGCAACAGCAACAGCAACAGCAGCAGCAACAGCAACAGGGACGGCGCCATGAGCGCCAAGTGGAGTGGGAGTGTGAACGGAACATCATCGTCCCCCCGACAACCATCCTCCTTGCCTCCCTGGGAATGGCCGGACATATCCCGTGCTGAGCAAGGGAGGCTCAGCTCCTCCGCCGCAGGGCCCACTCGTGGGAAGAGCGCAAAGACAGCAGCAGAATATTTTGACTCCCTTCGAGCATAGGAGCACAGTTTTACGCCAAGCCTCTAGGGGCCATCGTGCGGGCAGAGAAGGAGAAGACCACACGACTTTTCCAGCAGCTTACGGAGAGGAGGTGTGCATCCAGGCAGCAGGAGCAACCGGATGAGCGAGTGGGAATGAAATCGAACGGCGGACCTCCAGCGGTGGTCTGAAGCATGTGAAGAGCGACTGTGGCGCTCCATGTTCGAGGAAACTTTGGATTGGGTTATGAGCTAACCGTGGTTAATTGTTTTGTGAACAATCAATGATATTTCTTAGGCAAGGACGAGTACATCCGTAAAGTTGAACCGCAGATGTTCATAGAATTCTGTGAAGGGGGGAGTGAATTCTCCCCCATGATCTGTGTAACTGGTCTAATCGCGATGCTTGTGTGAGACATCCATGAGACTACTCATATGGCCTGATGGCGTCTCATGACACCCCACGAGGCTTCATGACATCTCATGACAGCTCATTACACCTCATTACACCTCCTAACACCTCATGACACCCCACGACGTCTCATGACGCCTCATGACAGATAATGACAGATAATGACATCCCACGACGCCTAATGACAGCTCATGACAGTTCAAGACTGTTCATGATACGTGACACCTCATGATACCTTATCGCACCTCGTGGCAGCTGATAACACCTCATTACACCTGGTGATGCCTCATGACAGCTCGTGGCAGCTCATCACAGCTCTTGGCAACTGATGACACCATATGACACCCCACGATACCTCATGACGCCTCCCGACGCCCAACGACACGTCGCGATGCCTCATGAGGCCTGGTGACCGAATGTGACACCTTATGACGGTTCCCGACGTCTCACGACGCCTCTTCACGCCTCGTGGCACCTCGCGATGCCTTATGATGCCTCGTGAAACCTCACGTCACCTCATGACGCCTCGCCACCCCTCAGCACACCTCACGACACCTCATTATACCTCCAGACGCCTCACAATACTTCATGACGTCTCACAACAACTTGCGACGCCTCACGACGCCCAACGATACCTCATGACACCTCATGACACCTCATGACACCTCATGACTCCTCGTGAAACCTCATGAAACATCGTGACACCTCATGACACCCACGACGCTCATCACACCTCATGACACCTCATGACGCCTCATGACAACCCATGACAGTTCAGGACACCTCAGGACACCTCAGGACACCCATGATGCTCATGACGCCTCATGACACCTCAGGACACCTCAGGACGCCTCATGACGCCTCACAACGCCGCATGACGCCTCAAGACCGCTCATAACACAAGAGGCGAAAGAACGTGTGGACCCTTTACCGATCTCACCAGACACGACTTGAAACAAGCACTATATTTTCTTTATACACTCTGCGTGACCCCACCATAACCTAGTAACAACAATACTGTAATTAGGAAGCTCCCGGCGAGTTTGCAATCTCCGAACAACGTGTTCAACCAAGAACAGATGGTGTGTGCGTTTGTTCGCCACAACCTTCTGGAAGCGGTGACCTGTGTAGAGTAGTAGACAAACACGAATGGTCATTCCATTTCGCTGGGATCATTTTTGCCAAGAACCTTAAGACAGAGAATGGAATACAGGGAACAACCCTTCAAGTGGGTTTGGGGACCGGCTTTCGTCAGTACAACAAAGCCACCGACGAAGTGGACGGC